AGCTGTTGGTCTATGCTGATGATGTGAATCTCCTGGGTGATAACATAGATACCATAAAGAAAAACACACACACTTTAATTTATGCTAGCAAGGAGATTGGTCTAGAAGTAAACACAGAGAAAACTAAGTATATGTTAGTGTCTCATCACCTGAATGCAGAGCAAAATCATGACATAAAGATAGGTAACAGATGTTTTGAAAATGTGGGACAGTTCAGATATTTGGGAATGACGATAACAATCAAAACCTGATTCAGGAGGAAATTAAGAGGCGGTTGAACTCGGGTAATGCTTGCTACCATACTGTCCCAGAATCTTTTGTCTTCTCATCTGCTGTCCAAAAACATAAAAATTAGAATATAGAAAACTATAAATTTGCCTGTGGTTCTGTATGGGTGTGAAACTTGGTCTCTGACATTAAGGGAGGAACACAGACTGAGGGTGTTCAGAATATTTGGACCAAAGAAAGATGAAGTGACAGGAGGTTAGAGAAAACTACATAATGAGGAGCTTCATAACTTGTACTCTTTGCCAAGTATAATTAGAATGATCAAGTCCAGGAGGATATGATGGGCAGGGCACATAGCACGAATGAGGGAGAGGAGAAATGCATATATGATATTGATGGGAAAGCAGGAAGGAAGATGACAACTGGGAAGACCAAGACGTAGGTGTGTGGACACTATTAAAATGGATCTTATAGAGATAGCTCAACGTCCATGTATTTATTGTCTGTCAACATTGCAACACCTGTTCATTCACCACTCAATCCCAATTCTAGTCCAACATTATACACTTCGACACTACATGTTTCAGCCCCAAATGGCCATCTTCAGGCATCTTGATATGTTACAAATATTTTATTAAATTATGTTAAACAATTAAGTTAAACAATTGCAACAGGATGCTAAAATACAGAATTATAGAGATAGGATGGCATGGTATAGATTGGATTGATGTGGCTCAGGGTGGGGAACAGTGGTGGGCTCTTGTGAACACAGTAATGAACCTTTGGGTTCCATAAAATACTGTGAAGTTCTTGAGTAGCTGTGCAATTGGTAGCTTCTCAAGAAGTACTCAGCTCCATGTGTGAGACAGTGAGTGAGTGTTTCTACACTATGCCTAAAAATGATCACCAATGATCTCATATCAAATTCTAAAATGATACACACTTGCCCAGAGAAGTCAGGAGCCACTCAGTGCCATCAGGGTAACCTCGTTCTGTAAGGGCAATGTTGGTTATGCCCTTGTTGAGAGAATACTCCAGGATAGGGTGCAGCAGCCCATGTGGAGCAATCTCAATAGTGATGGCATTATGTGGGATGTGTCGTGATGCCTCCTCAAAAAGCACTGGTTTAAGCAGGTTGTTGGTGATGTACGCAGCTGATAAATCTGTTGCTATTGGTGTGTTCCATTCACTCTGTGGTACTGAAGAGCTCACCCAGTGTGCAGACCGGGGCTTTGCGCATGGGATCAGCTGCAGGGGCACAAGAACAACTAACAGAATATACTACAACTGCTAGGCATGAATCAGTCTTAGATTTTATATGTCAATTTCAGAAATAATATTTTTTGTCATACCGTAAAGATGTTATTGGACCTTTTAATTCTGATAATAATTTCTGATCCATAATCTTTATCAGTTTTAATCAGTAACACATCTTCATACATGGATATACCTGAGAGAGTCTGAGACACACACAAGAGAGACTAAACCAATAGCCAGGTTAATGCAACTACGTAGGTCATTTCAAAAATATTGCACACAATTTTTTGTTTACATCTACGTTTATTTTTTTTTAAATATCTCTTTACAGTCCTTCAACATAGTCCCCTTGCTTCTCAATCCAAGTCCCAACGTGTGGGAAGTTTACTATTCCATCCAGGACACCATCTTTGTTTATCTTTCGAATGGCTCGGGTAACTTCAGCAGAAAGCTCTTCCAGAGGGAAAACAACGGCCTCGCATAGGTTGTTTCAACTCTGGGAATAAGTCAAAGTCTGGTGGACTCATGTCCAGGCTGTAGGGAGTATGAGGCAACATCTCCCAACCGTATTGGCGCAGATTCTCTGTTACAACATTCCCAAGGTGCGGGCGAGTGTTGTCATGGAGAATGATTGGCCCAGCCTCGAGCAACTCAGGTAGGTTTCTGTGCATTTTTCTGCGCAGATTTTGCATAAAGTCATGATAATAAACTGCTGCGACACTTTTCCTGCATGGAACTCTGTCTGGCATGATGATTCCTTGGTGATCATAAGCAAAGATCATCATTTGTTTGACCTTTGATTGAGATCGTCAACATTTTTTTGGTCATGGGGAAGATGGACCTCTCCACTCGTTGGACTGTGATTTCAGCTCTGGTTCAAAGTCCCTAACCCATGTTTCATCAATAGCGACAAGTCGATACAAGAATGCTTGACCTTCAACGTCGAATCTTTGTTTCAGCAAGTTTGCAATGTTGAGGCGTTTCTGCTTCTGTTCAGCAGTCAAGCAGTGAGGGACCCACCACAAAGAAATCTTTCTCTTCTTTAAATCATTTGTCAGAATTTGGAATATTGACTTTGGTGGAATCCCCATGGTTTCAGAAAGTTCCTCACATGTCACACGGCAATTTTCTTCAAGAGCATCTGACACAAGTTTCACACATCATTCATCTGTTGATGTTTTTGGCCTTCCTGGCCTTGGATCATCGTTTATGCTCACATGACCGCCACGAAAACGACTAGCCCAG